CACACACACACACACACACACACACACACACACACACACANACACACACACACACACACACACACACACACACAGAGGTCGCGCAGGGGTCATCAGAAGACTCAGACTCTTGAGATGACTGCAGCGGCGCTGAGGGGACGTACCTGAAGATGTGGGGTCCTCGGAGAAGTCATGCAGATCCTCTGGGGGGTCCCCGTAAAACGAGTTAAACTTGTGGCTCGAGACAGCAGCGAGGACAGCGCCCTGTCAAACACACACACACAGAGAGACAGACACACACATGTCCATAGAGACACACGCAAACACACACACACACACACTCACATACAAAGACAAAAAACAGAAATACACACACACACACACACACACACACAGACATGCACATCCATGCGCGCACGCACACACACACACACACACACACACACACACACACACACACACACACACACACACACACACACACACACACACACACACTACCAGTGTTTTCCTGACTCAGATCTGAACAGTGGTGTTTGATGTTACTGATGCAGAACCGCAGACACCTGACATTTACAGCTCACACACACACTCAGACGCTTCACCTTTACACACACACACACACAAACACTCTTGCGTGCGTCTCTGCTCTCCAGACGGTGTGTTTGATGTTTTCCAGATCAACATCTCCAGCTTTGATGTGGAGAACAGCGTCACTCTCACTGACCTGAGGCCTGCACTGCGCTAACACTGCAGTTCAGTGTGTGTGTGTGTGTGTGTGTGTGTGTGAGACGCTGCGTCAGTTAAATGTGTTAAGCAGCAGATATGTGTAGTGTGGACTCCTCTAATGGAGTGATCTGCTGTGATTGACAGGTGATTGATTTATAGCTGTGTATTAACGTCTCACTCATCACACACAAGCTACACCCCCCCTCTCCCAGCATCCCCAGCGGCAGCCCCTGATCATAATAGAGGCGTTTTGGAGACTGTCGCTTTAAATTCAAATGAGATTCAGGAGAGGGCGGGGCTACAGACGGCTGTGCGGCAGGTGTGAAACAGCAGTGTGTGTGTTGTGAGTGCTGCTCAGGTGTGTGTGTGCTTCAGAGCGAGTGTGTGTTGATGCTTCTGTCAGTCTGTGTGTCTCCTGTCTCTGTTCATCTAGAACTCCACATCTATAATCCTCTTAGTCTATGCTGACATCATCTTCAGCAGCTCAAACACTGTAATGGCTAATGGACAGACGGCTGCTTCTCACTCAGGGCTGCTGGACATGCTAATGAGATGGAGAATAATGGGCGGGGCTTTCCCCCTCTGATGACACGTACAGCAGGAGAATGTCAGTCACAGTGTCTCGGCATCAAGTCTGATTAGAGCAAACACAGCTCACTCATCTGCACCAGTACAGACTGCTGAGATACACACACACACACATACACACACACTGCTGACACACGTGTGTGTGTGTCTGTGTGTGTGTGTGTGTGTGTGTGTGTGTGTGTGTGTGTCTGTGTGTGTGTTGGCGTCTGTACCTTCAGTTTCCTGCGAGCGTTGAACTTGCGCAGCTGCTCTACCGTCTCCGGCAGGTGGATCTTGTAGGAGTAGCGGTCTCTCTCCTGTAAAACACACACACACACACACAGGGTCAGACAGATGAAGATGAGGATGAGGATGATGATGATGAGGATGA